ATATCAATGAATAAAAAAATAATTCTTAGGAAACAGTAGTCCCAGAATAAAATTATTTTTTCATTTCATTCCAATGTTTTTTTTTTTCAATATATCATGTGGAAGGTATCTTTATTTCTACTGAAGTCTGTATTAATGCTCAATTTCTTTTAAAAACCTGTACCACTAACAACCAATGAAGGGTCTTGGGTTTAGTACAATGTGAGGAAGTACTATTACAAGGCCAACGGTGTGCAGGGTGGTGACAGACCAATATCACACTAAACCGCCAGGTTTTCCCTCTTAATTAATTATTTAATTGAGAGTACCCACTTTATAGAGGCTGGGTTTGCCCCAGGAGGGCCTCCCGGCCCCAGGATCGATCTATGGCTGATGAAAAATTACTAGTCATCAGCTGGATTCGGACCTGGGACCTTGAGCTCTAGAAGTCAGTGCTCACCCACTGAACTACCCCGCTCCCATCAATTTCTTTTAAACATCATTTAAATATATAATGATTTTTGATTTAAGACACTGGTAAAGCGAGCAAGAATTGTAAGCAAGTTTTCGAAAGGAGTGAGTGACATTATACTGTAAACCTCAACATTCTTATCAGTAAGCCTGATAAACTTTAAAAATTTATATCTTAAGAATGAGTAAATGTAGAATATTCACAAAATATTTTGTAAAACATGTTGAATAACAAAAGTATAAAAAATAAAAACATGCATATACTTCATTGTAAATAATTAAATAGATACACAATTAAGTGAATATCAAAATTAACATATATATATATATATATATATATATATATATATATATATATATATATATATATATATATATATATATATATATACATATTTTAAATACCTTAAATACCTTTTTGAAAAAAATTAAGTTTATGTAAAAATATATAACAAAACAATAAAATCAGATTCTTAAACAATACAAAGAGAAATGAAATAGGTTTTATAAAAATGTCTTGATGTAAAAAATCTATAACAAGCAATAGAATACTTAATTTACATAGCAATCATAACCCATAATAAAAAATTAAAACTGCAAAAAATCTAATTGATCAGGCTAAATCAACAATGGCTAACATACATATTGAGGAAGTAACATAGGAAAGATACAAAATTGTCCTAGAAAACTGGTATCCTATTAGACTTATAAATTATGGCATAAAAGCACAAGGAGGTAACCAATGACAATATAAAAAAGAAGGATTATCAAATTACCAATGAAAATATAATAACTAGTTGAAACAAGAAGAGAAATAAATAAATAATTTAGTCACAAAAACAATGAGTCTGGATACAAAATCTATACAATAAGAAATATACTGAAAATAACACAAACCTATCCCAAAAAATTTTTTCAGTGATATTTGTTAAAGCAATAACTAAAAAAATTAAACATTCGAACAATATAACAACCTAACTGAAATTTGAAAAAAATTAGAAAAAATATAAAGTAGAACCAAAGAATACATAAGCACTGAAAGAAAATTTGAAAAACATAATATATAAAATAAAATGGAAAAATTGTCATGATAAAGCATAATCATGGCAACCATAAGGAGCATTATGCACTCCAAAACTACCAAATCTAATTAGCATGGGAATTATTCAAAGACATATCAAAAAAAATAAACACAATTTGGATACAAAAACACCTTAATCTGACGTAAAAAAAAATTAATAAACATAGAGTAATTGAACCAATATTTAATACAAAAAATATTACATTTTAACACCTATGGAAGTAGGATTAACAGTTATTCTTTCCTTTTCTTTTTTTCTGTTGGTTTAACACTTTGTAGATATTTTTGGATTATCTGAACCAACCTTATACATCACTGCCTATCTTGGGATTTTGCTTTCCAGTTTGCTGCAGGCCACTCTGCAGCCTCTCTGTTGATTCTATCTTTATATTTGGGTTTCTAGCAAACTGTTGAGTCATTCGTTGTTCTGTAGAAGCTTTCTGATGGATTTCCACCCCTCCCCTCCCCCCAGATGAACTTTCTTGCTTTTATATCATTGACCAGTATCTGTAAACAGTTCTTTATTGGTTCATTTCCAACATCTGTTAGTATTCTGATTCCAGATCACTCTAGAATCATGTGGAGGATTTCTAGGGAGGTCGATAATCTCAAAGTCTCACATCGGTACATCAGAGCTAACTTTATCATAACACTGTAAACCCTACATTTTAGATTTCTATAGATTTTTTAAGATTTCCATAATTACTCTTAAAAGAGAGAAAAAAGTTCAGTTTGCACTTGTTTATTTCTTATACACTGGTCTATTTCTGAACATTTGTCATTTATTGAAATTACTGTGGAGTTGAGAAAGTTTAATCTTTCTAATCTCGAGAACGATTTCTCTACAAATGTAAATCTTATTGTAGGAGTGAATTTTTCAGCTTAAATTCATGTACTTTGTTTCATCATTTATTAATAGGCCCATATGCTATGATTTTGTAATCAAAATTTGCGATGTGGTTTTCCAGGATGTCAGCAGCCCCCTTCAGATTCAGTCCAAAGACTGTCTGTTTTAGGGAAAGAAATATAGGTTCTCGTGCGCCTACTGGCTCTGATCAGCCATAATCCATGGATTTAGATGGATTTGTAATAGCCCTGCATTGCCAGATTGGCTCTAAAGGGATCGTCTATGGAGCTATGGGTGACCTGCCACTACACCATGGAGAAAATGATCCATAATTATTATTATGGAGCTCAACTATATTTAGTTGAGAGACCCCCTCTAGGCTATTGGCTACCACAAGCAACATATGTCTCTAAGACTATATTGCGCAGCAAAAGCGCCAATAGTACCTATAGAAAAAAAAAAAAGAAAAGAAATATATATATATATATATATATATATATATGTATCCTCTCATGGATCTCATTCTCACATAGAGGAGTGTCACAATGGGGCGGTTGTGAGGATGGTTGGTGGAAATTCCTCCCGGCTAACACTGGTGGACTCTTAGACTAACAATGACAGGCTTGCTGGAGAGTATGAGGCATGACTTTATCCACATATTTCCACGCAGACTAACATAATGAACATCATTAATCAATTGGCATCATAGCCGAAACGTTGCCAGTGCAATAAGAGAAGAAAAATAAATAAGCCTGGAATAAATACAGCCTAAACCTTTATTATGAATCCAATTTCACCTTAAACTAAAATAAAAAGAAGAAACATCAGTTTTAGCATCTTTCAGTTAAGTTAATTCAAAACAGAACCTATTAATCATTTTATTTTAGATATTTTTTATAAGTAATTATGTCAATTTGATCTCCATTAATAAGATCATTTTTCATACATCTTTGGTCAGCCTAAACGGAATTTAAAGTAATGCTTATGTATTATTTTAAGGAGTCCAAGGTCCAAGATAAAAGTTTTTTTTTCTTTTTCATCTTTAATTACATCCCTTGGAATGAATATTTAAGTGTTCCTATTTCATTATTTTCCTACATTTCATTTCAAAAAATTAAAAAAAAAATCATTTATTTAAACAAGAATTCATAGTGAATATATCTTAAAATGTTATGCCATGTTATAATAATAATTTATATGTAATATAATAATTTTGAATAAAACAAATATAAATTGATATTTGAAATTAAAATCACAATGTAGGTAAAAATAAATTATAATTAAAACAAAAAAATGAGTCCAAGGATGGTGAAGGATTGGTTTTAGAGTAAGGGATGGCAGAACATAACATACATCCCTTTCTATTTTGCTGAAACTATGACATGCAGGTTTTGCTAATGCAAAGTTATATAACTATGTTATACAAACATACAACAAAAATAAAGCTGCATAACAAGATGCAGGCTCGAAGTGTAGTGACAGTGTATATCAGACAATCTTGGACACTAAAGAAAAATGAATCAAGGTTAGAAGATGGATTTGAAAGAAAAATACATCCTAGGGTCACTCCAGGAAAATAGAATATTGCAGATAACGAAGACTGAAGAGTTGTAATAACTGTTTGATGAAATGAGCTTTTCTTTTTTTGTAAAGATACTGAAATTATTATTTTAGGTACAATTACTTGGAATTAGTCGGGTGTATAAGAACATACCCAATATCTTAAGGCCCAGAAGCCGACCAAAGATAGGATGGAGAAACATTTACTGTAAAGGTCTCAGATCTCAAGAAACTGAAAAAGGACCCATGCACAGAACAAAACAGGTTGAACTTTAAGATTAACAAGCAAAGGATCACTACAAGCATCTGTTGCCCCAACAGAAAAAAAATGAACGGACATTTTTCCAGGCTCTATTCTTTGATGTAAATGGTTAATTCTTTTTAGTCTATAACAGAAAGCTCATTTTAAATTTAAGCAAGAGTAGCTAAACAGCAAAGCTCTAATAAGAAATCAATTAATGAACTGTGTTAAAAGTTGAAAATTTGTAACACCTGACCTTACTTATCACTATATAAATATCAACTCTTCGGACAATGCAAATTATGCCTATATTTAAAATAGGAACTAATAAAGGAAAATGGAAATACTTAATATATTTATTTTATCCATATAGAACTGAATAAACCCTTCAGTAACAATTCTTATTCTGAATAAAACTAAATAATGAAAGATTAATTAATAAATTTTAGTAGAACAAGAAAAAATTTAAATGTCTCTTTTCACGATAATTTTATAATACTCGTACTATCTATAATAATTTTTCATCTTCATCATATATCATATTTATAAACGTTCAAACAAGCTACAGGTACTAAAAAATAAAAGATGCTTAGCATAAATAAAAGATAATAACTTAGCATAAATTATTTTTTTTTTTTAATATGAGACTTTGAACTTTGACAAAAGCTATTTCACTTAATAAAATAGACGGGTAGAAATTAGTAAAATTATCATACATCAACAGCTAATTAACATGCAGCATTCATCAAAGCATAGCATGCAGTAATTAAGATTGAAAAAAATTCTTTTTGCCACACAACATTTAAAATAAATAAACTCACCCACAAGCAACAAAGTTGCCCGAAGGGGCATAGGCACATGCCATTACCCAGGTTGTAGGCATTGTAACAGCATGTTCTTTATTAGTGGTAAATGCATCCCAAATAATCATCTTTCCATCCTTGCACAAACCCACAAATATGAGAGCATTTCAAAACAGTAAATGTTGTAAATGTATTAAACATTAATTTATTAATTTTTTGTATAGCATAATAGGAGCAATTACAGGCACGCACAAAAAAACATACAAATAAGAAATAAAAAATGAAATTCACTAACATTGTTTAAATAAAGTCTTGAATTACCTCGAGCAATATTAGCAATGCATAAGTACTCTTTTGAAAACTAAGTTTATTTTTGTTTTACAGATGAAATGAAATGAAGAGCATAAGTCAATATATATATATATAGGTAAGGAATAAAATTTTGATGACAGAGATAATAAAAACCAGAAATAATGTTTCAAAAGCAAAAGACTTGATATTTAAATTTAAAGAAAAACTATTGAAGTATCAAGGTTAAACAAATAAAGCCCTTTAGGTTATTATACCAAATTCAAAATGATAAAAACTATACTTAATTTTAATTTAAGTTAGAAGATAGATAATAAAAAAATGTAATTAAAATAACTTTAAAAAAAATCAGGGTGTTATAAAAATTGCAGTGAATTTATAATATCTATAATGAACATATCTGTTATGACAAGCTAAGTGGAGTATTGGGTGCCCAAGATAGGACTTATTCTAAATATTACTTTAAATCACCATTTATTGCGATCACTACTATTTTGAATTTATATGTATGTTTGAGGCATTTTGTTATCTTTTATTATCTCTAAGCATGCAATGCAAAGTAACTGCATAAGTTAAACCTTTTAAACATGTCATATTTAAAACATAACATCGGGTGTTAAAAGTCATATGTCATACAGGGTAAAACAATCGTAATCTTAATTTGATATTATCTTTTAAAATGTAATAAAGAGCCAAGTAGGAAAATAAGTTTAATACTGATCTATCCAGGATTTAAGACCTTAAAATATTATAATTGGGTTTATAAATAAGCTAAGACTTTTTTTTTTTTTTAAGTCGTCAAAATATAATGAAATTAATTAGTTTAAATGTCGTAATGTGCTCTCAAGATGAATAAATAGTAAGTACTATTCATTTCATAAGGGGTAGAATGGTGGAGAGCCCCATGATGTAGTTGGTCTGCTTTCCTCTAATAGTGGGTTATTGACTACAGCTGGTTACACTTAAAAAATTTATTTTCTTTAATTGTTGTATAGTATTGTCAGGAAGTATTAGTCTTAAACTATATTAGGAAAACCATGTGTGGTTGCAATTTTTAGAAATGCTGTTAATTCTCCAAATATAAGATATTATTCTATTATGTATCATTGATATGTATTCAAATGTTGAAATAAACAATTCAATATCATATAAACAAATATTTTTTATATTTAAGCTTTTAGCTAACATTTAATGTTGATTACCTTTTTCTTATAAGTAATTTGAGAGAAAACAGGCCATGCTTTTATTTTTTGACAATTCAATGAGTAATCACCTATGTATCTCCCTGATGATTAATGTTAGATTTTAGAAGATGATAATATTTCTAATATAATAATAAAATATTGAAATGATAAATGTTTAGTGGAAATTTAGACGGATAGTATTAGTGATTTAATACAAATTTTAGTTAGAGATTGATGAGGTAAAATATAGTAGTATTTTGGGAATTATATTTGGTTAATTAGATAATATTCAATTTTCAATGGAATTAAGTTAAATATAATTTTTCATTTTCAGTTATTCTTTTGAGTTCATATAAAATAAAGTGTGCTGTCTCTGTAGATGTGCGAAGATGAAATGTTTTAAACATATGTAAAAATAAATTTGAACAGAAACTGATTAATTTCCTTCATTGAAATAAGAAACATTTAAACCGGACACATCACAGGAGTAAATATTTGAAGCAATGATTAAATAAATATAATATAAAAAGAATAATAACAGTAGTTTTAATTTATATGGTGTTAAAAGGAAGAGTCAAGACGGTTTGGAGGCCTAGTTCCAATCAAGTTACAGACCTAAGGCAGAAAAATTTACTAACCAAAAAGAAATTAATTATTATTCATGGACAATCTACAAATACTAAAGTGATCTGCCTATTTAAAGATAAAGTTTCTTCATTAAAAAATTATTTTGTTTTTATTATATTTTTTTTGTTGTGTGAATTATTTTTTTTATTAAATATATTATGTATATGTGTAATTTTTTAATTTATTTATTTGTAATTCTAAGAAACTAGAAAATATATAACTTAAATTTTACAATTTAAAAAATTTTCACAAACACTAAAAATATATACATTTTGGCGACCCAGGTAAGATCTATTTTAATTTTTAAAAAATACAAAATCATTGAAATATATTTGTGTGTGTTAGGAGGAAATGTCAGTAACAGTCAGAGGGAGATAGTATAATGAAAATTTAGTTCAGGACGACCAACCGCACGTTTATATATCAATCTGTAGTTGAGATTTGGTATTTCATAGTTCTCCAAGAAAACCTTGTTTTGCCCCTATAAAAATCCAAATTTCTCTAATTTAACTAAACATTTCTCATCTTGTCACCATTTTCGGAATCTACAATGAATTTCCTATAATATAGTGACCTATTTGTGGGAAAATATCACTTTGTCAAGCTATCATAACAACCAACCAAGTAAACAAGTAATAATGAATCAATTTTTATTGAGATTCTATGAAGTAATATTATACTTGGTAGAATCTCATGCAATGAATTTTTGAGCTACGACTTATGAGACTCCAAAGCAACCAAAAAAGTTGTTTGATTTCTTCTCATATGTAGGAATACTCAGAGAAGTAAATCTGTTATCTGATGCATTACTAATTAATACGCATTTTAACAATCCGTAGTAATAAACATTCACATACTAGTGAACATTTAACTTGCCATTAACTATTCTGTCAGGCAAGTTAACTGTTCACTTGCATGTTGGAGGCTCATGGCTTTATAGTGTGGATTGTTCTATTCATAATGTCTCTTCGAGCTTTTTGCTTATTTTAGTAGCACAAATTAATTTCTTATTTAAACCAGTGGTGTAGATAACATTCCCCCAGCCCAGGGGTCTCCAAACGTTTTGGCCTGCGGGCAAATTGAGATCTCTACTAGTTCCCATTGGCAACATTCAGACATCCAGTAAGTCCGACGGGTCATGCCTCGTGATGGAAAAATTATCTCCATATATCAATGTTCAAAACCATTAAAGTCAAATATCGATGTTACCAATACACTGGCATAAAAACATCAATGTTTTTTACTTATATCTGGCAATAGTAATCTAGAAACTTTTAATGATTGATTTATGAAAATCTTTTTCTTCTTCATCTTCCTTCTTACGGCGGAATTCCACTGAGGCAACACTGAAAAACATGTAGCTTGAATACAAAATGTAGCTTGAAAACAATAACGCTAATGTAAATTGAAACCGTACTGTTACCTCCTTTACCCACGAGCCAAGAAATAATATTTTCATAAATTTTATACTTTAGAAATATAATAATCACAAAAATAATAATAATAACACTTCCTATCAGTTAAATATAAGTTGTAATGAGTGTAAGGAGAGTTTAGGGAATAAGGAAGATACCTTTATCTCCACCAACTGTCCTCACATTTAAGAAGGGAGCTTGAAGGAATGGATTCTGATCTCAGGATGTAAGGGATAGGAAAGGAATAGGAAAGAACAAGGAACGTTTATGTATACCACTATAAGAACCGGTATGTTTTGGATGGAAATTTAATATGGAAGTACTTCTCAGAAAAAAAAAAAAATGTGGGGAACACAACTAAAAACATTTTCTATAGTTTGACTCATCTAAAAATATATTTACAATCACACCAGCATTTCAAGACTTTATTTCTTTTTCTTTAAAATTAAATGATTGGGTGTTGACACTGAGGTATTTAGATCTCCTGTTACCAGGGACGCATTAATATTTGAGGAACCCTAATATAAATAAATAAAATTTAATTTTAAAAAATAAAACTAAACCCCCCTAGTGGGTCCCCATAAGAAAAGTCAGTATTAGAAGTTAAAATAGCTTTTTAAGTAACATAGAAATCGTAAATACTCTCCTTTTTAATTCCTACATAAATGATCTTTCCAAATCCATCTACCACTGTTCACATCATTTATACGCTGATGACACCCAAATCTATTATTCCTTTCATCCTTCTGAGCTACTAGTCGCGTTCGCCAATATTCAGGCAGACCTAGATAGGATCAGTGCCTGGGCAAGTCTGAATAACTTAAATCTAAACGCGAAGAAAACTCAGGCTTATTATAGCTTCCAGTCCTATTCTTAAATCCATCTCCTTCGTTCCTCCTTCAGTCATCAACAATCATCCTGTCACATTCAGTTCCTTCGTTAAAAACCTAGGAATCACCATAGACGAAAACTTCTCCTGGAAACCCCATATCGCCCTTATCTCTCGTAAGTCAATAGGTGCCATTAAGCTATTTCATCGCTCCCGCCACCTACTCCCACAACCCATCCACAAGCTCCTTGTATCCTCTCTCATTTTCCCCCACTTTGACTACGGCTGTGTGGTGTACGGAGGCATCTCGATGGCACTCGAGGATAGATTGAAGCGACTCATGAATACGTGCTTAAGATTTGTCTTCGGTACATCGAGGCGGTCTCATGTGTTCCACCTTTACGACGAGTTAAAGTGGCTCTTCCCTTCTTTCCGCAGACAATATTTCCTCGGATCTTTCCTATTCCAAACAATAAACACCAGACACCCTTCCTACATCTACAGTCTCCGACAGTTTAAACCCGTAGTCCACTCCCAGAAAACAAGATCCCGTGTTTCCAACCCTTCCCATAGAACTAAGACGTTTGAATATTCCTTTATTGCCCGATCCACAGCCTTCTGGAATTCCTTGCCATCTGAAATCCGCCATGCCTCTTCCTTGTCCTCATTTAAATATCATCTCTACCAATTCCTTCTCACTTCCCAAAATGACGTTATACAATAAAATAAATACTGCAAAACAGATTTTGACTGAGGTGAATGGTTGATAAAAT